AGGCAATGTGTAGCCATTTCAAACGAATGGTCAAGTCTCTTCACTGCCAACTGGTGCTCATGGAAGCGTGTGCAGACGGATCTTCCTGTTTGGCTGCAATATACCGTATCACAAGCTTTGCATGGGACTTTTTAGATGACTCCTTTCTTATTGAGGTAGCCAATCCGATCCTAGCAACATCAAAAAGGTTGACCATACCCAACTACGATACTTCAGCAAACGGTTACTAAGTCTACTACAGGAACGCTGACGGAGCGACAGCGTACATGCATTGAAAAGTTTAACAGTAATTGTGGTCACTCAGTCTGTACTTCTGCTTGAAGTTTAAAAGACTCTCGAGGGACAGTCTTGCTGTACTTGCGTAAATGAATAGCTTTAGCTTCGACTACTATTTAAAGCAGACTTTTTCTTACATAGCGCGTACTATTTCAGTTTGCCTCATGCTATCCCCGCGTAAAAATCCGACTATGTTTGTCAATAAAAACAGAACTGCACAAAGGTGATTGCGCTATTGATGTTGTTAACACACCTAGACGAAGCAGCTGGGATGCTCAATAGAAAGTTGGTTATGTGGACACCCAATTTACACTTGCCTCAAAAGGTTTAATTTCAAGTTTACAATCCTGCCTGAGACTTTGCTCATTATATTTCCCTTGCGAGTAAAAAATCACTTTAGAAAGAGATAACTAGCTTAAAAAACTGATTTTCAAATATATTTCGGCCTAGAGCGCCTAATATTGTGTCCAATTTATGCTTCAATATTTTAGTTAGGCAGCTTTGTTTGCGACGAAGTAGCCATAATGTAAGATTTAATTAAAAGCAAGAAAATTCGGGTTTTCTTCATTCAGAAATGCCTATGATTCAGAATAGAAGAAACAACTCTTTTATAAAACTCTTCCTTTCCTTTCCAGGGCTCAGTAATGCTAGCGAGGGATTTGACGAGAGTTGGACTGGAGATAGCAGATGCTTGCCTCGTGTTAGCAAATAAGTATTCCAATGATCCAGACGCAGAGGATGCTACCAACATCATGAGGGTCATATCAATCAAAAACAATTGTGCTCACATCAAGGTAAGTTTAATCGTTTCGAAAAGCTTGATGCATTTACCTGATATTCCCCTTCACTAACACCTATAACGATATAGACTAATAGTAGTTAACAACATGCGGACTTCCATCCACGATTTTCGCTTAACATTGTTCAATGACGGGCAAATACGCAGAAAACCTGGTGACTGCACGTATTGTTCATTCATACGGAATCAGCAGATACTGTGCTATTAAGCATTGCATTTACCCAATGACAAAACATAAAGGGAAATACGGCACAAGTGCATGAAAACTACTTCGCCGGTGGGTTACATCCTTTTCAAATTTCATCACAAAAACCTAATTTCATGGACAACTTTATCCTGAGCAGCTACTTGTTAAGGTTTCCAGCTCTACCGCCGTCTGTCTAGTGGCTGTTTTATTCGTAAGACAATTTTGCACACATAAGAAGAGCGGAACAACGGTTGTACGCAACGAAACACACAACAAAGTGTAGTCTAAAAAAAACTATAGGACAGTCTTCTTATTTTTAGGGCATCAGCAGCTTCTTTTAATGATCCGATAGATTTAAAAACACTAAACTACAACAGACATAGTTTGGCATTGTCCTGAGGTTTCGGGCTATTGCGGGAGTCCATCGTCAGAGATAAAAGCGTCCACGAAAAACAAGCAAACTGAAAGCACGCTCGGTTCGTGCATAAATAAATAAAAGCTGGCTGTCAGACGGGTTAGCGCATTGTCTCGATTGGCCAAGAATTTATCTTCGCAGCCGCGAGGATAATTGCTGACGCCGGCAGCAAGACGGGGCGAGAAGTACTTGAAGCCGGGATTAGATAACAAATCAGTGAACCGATGAATCGGGCTGACGCCCGCATACACCGCCCTCCGCAGGAATATCTACACGACCGATACTGGTGGTTAATGCGTTCCCTCCCCCTCCCCTATAACGGTTGATTGGCCCCTCCCCTATGACTGTGGTCTGTTTTTCGTGGACGCTTTTATCTCTAACGACAGACTCCCGCAAAAGCCCGAAAGCTCAGAACAATGAAAAATTGATCCAAAGGTCGACAACCCTTCTTCCTTATTCATGCAAATACCTGTAATGCGAACGTTCTCATTCATGGTTAGACATTGATCATATGGGACACAAAAAGACAATGGAGACCGGAATGGTCATTTCTGTCTCATTAGTCGTCATCAGCCATTCATAGCCAATCCTTGGTGTGGATCCCCCGAAATTCAAATCCGCCATCTTTGGTAATTCAGTGCAAAACTTTCGAATTGCGCCACGAGCCCGTGGTTTTTGTCGGTTGCGTTCGGGAGTATGATGACAGTATGGAGAGCTCACCGATCCGGTTAAGGGACATTTATGTCCTGTTTTGCCCTGGAGCTCCCTATTGAGCCCTTGCAGTCAGTCACACAGCTACTTACGATATATGTTGATCAGGTTGAACCGACAAGGTCAAGGGAGAGTGGATTGACCATTCCTGGATTATAAACCTCCATCAACTATTTATGCCCAACTCCAGTTGTGGATCCCCTGAGCTTCTAAGCGATGACAGGTGGTCATTTACTGCAACATCCTACCATTGCAGTGACGTTTCCAACTGGCATTTTCTACAAGATAACAACTATCGGCTGCCTATGGGAAGTACTGCCTTTCCTTAATCCATCTCCTCGTACGAATTTTATAATAATGATGGCTTATTTCAAATTTCAAATGTATTTATTATTCGCCTAAATGGTGACAGCAACTGCACTCTTACTGGTTAACCTCAAAAACCACTTTCAACAAGGTAGCTTTTAAGCCACGTATGACAATATAACATGTTTAAAAATTTTCCAAGTTAGTACTGCGAAGTTCGAATGAGATAGAATATTTTTTTTCAAAAATGCTCGAAACACTTCTAGGTATGAGTCAGTATTATAAACTATTACACTTGCTGAATAAAAGGGATTTAATGGAGTAAAAATATTTAGTTTGACAGTAATTTATTAAAATGTCGTAGTCTGAAGTCCATACTTTGAGCTAGGACTGACCGATGATAGTAAATTAGTGAGAGAGGACCAGATTGGTTTTTCTTACCTAAAAACACATCGATTATGTATAAACAACGTCAGCAGCCAATGCTATGAGCGCCATTAGCATAATTCTCTGGGGAATACCTACCTACCTACTTATGTGAATCCTTGCGAAGCGTATCAAGATTGTCGTATGATTCAGCTAGTCAGAATTAAGTCCTGGTTATAGTCTAAAATTCTACAACGAATCGGACCTCAGGGAGGTACGAATTGACGTATTACGTTCGCTAGTTGCATAAATTCCCATCAGAGAATTCAGCAGAGTAGTTGAAGAGCATACGTAGACTTTCCGTAAATCCTCCTCCGGCCATTACATTCATATG